AGATTTCCAGATCAAGGTACTGTCCTGTCTTCCAGGTCACAGTCATGAAATAAATCCAGAAAGATACGTGTGTACATGTAAAACACTGAGGGACCACCATTCTAGACCGCGATGCCAGTAAACTCAGCTCATTTATTATGCAAATTGTCTCCAAAAACTGATAACAGTTCCACATACTAAAACTGTTGCATCAACCCAAAGGTCTTCTGGATTTTCTATCAACTGTCTGATATTTTAATTGCCCCAAGTGACTGAACACACTGCAGCCAGTATCCATAATGGTCTTCTCCTAAAGAGAAATTATAGTTAGTCTCAGCTGAGTGGCAGTAATCTTAAGTGCACTGGACAATTTCAGCTCTGCAGGAAACTTCATTCACTCCAGAAATTTTAAGCTGCACTTGATACACTGACCATGCAACCATATAAAATTGGTTGGAATTTCATGTTGATTTTCTAGCAATTACAGTTGTTTTCAATTTTGTGGGTCCATTTTCACTTTTCTTTCTTTCTGGCTTTAATTTGATTTCTTTCCCAGTTACTTTGTTGTATACTCAACTCTTCTCTTAAATCTCTTCCGAACATTTATGTGGTCCTTTATCTAAAGTAACTCAAAAACATAATTTAGATTTTCATTTTTAAACTGAGGGTACTTAAGACCTTCTCATCGGCAGTATCTTATCAATTTAAGCTTGTTTCTAAAGCAATTTTGAAGTTAAGACAGAGTATTAAAAGAGTACTTAAACAGAATAATTGAGAGGTAAATATAAGAAATTTCTCATCCTAGTTTGGTGAATTTTTCCTTTTCACGAACAGAGATTGAAAGAATTAAACTTTTTTACCTCAAACAGAGGCATTTAGGTATGGACTTGCTAAAATAGATCCAGCAATGAATAGTATATTATTACACTGAACAGGAGGGTAGAATTTCTGACTTACATTTTAGTTGTTTCTTTCTCATTTCTCTAAAGTATCTGGTGCTACATAAACTAAAATTTAGAAAGGGAAACAGCTAAATCCCGCATATGAGCCAGTTTGGCCATTTCTCCTCTTCTGTGATTTTACAGAAAAGATTTTAGCTTATTGTACTGCTCCTACCTCACTGAAGGAATTACCTTTTGGATAAGATCCTGGCCCTACCTACTTAGCTGAGATCTTACTATTGACTTTAATGAGAAAAGAATTTTTGCGTTAATGTATAAAATTGCCTTCAAGCATAACATAACATAGTAGTTTTACTTCCAGTACTGTTTTTCTGTTGATGTAGATATTTATCACCTTCCAGCGAATCAACCAACAGGAATTAAGCATGAAGACTGAAGCACAGCTATGCTTAAATTTACAGTAGAGGAGTAATGAAATGAACACATTTTCATTTTGTTCATGTCATGCTCATATCTTAAAGGTAGTCAAAGAAGATGTATTAGAAAAGATCCTCTAGCATCAGAGAGATATGCTTGACTCAGGTTACTGTTCCTTATAAAGTCAGTCTTTAGAGTATATTGCTGTTTTGTTGTTGATTTTAACACCTTCAATTGCGCAGAAGTAAAGTGCTTCCTGCATTTCTGAAAAATATTAGATTATTAGGTCACTTTCCAGTAAAGCAAAAATTGTTTATGGCCAGTCCTATTAAAAGCATAGCAATCATGCAGAAATTCATGCTCTGTTTCTTCTTTTGGGATTGGTTAAGAGACAACAGAACAAAAAAAGACATGACGTAGTACTCGGAACAGAAAAGAGAGTATAGGTATAGTTTGTGACAGGCAGGTTAATTCTGAGACAGACATGTTCTGAACAAAGAATCAAGAACATAAGCTCTATTTCTACCTAATTCTCTGTAGTCTCTTTCTTTAATATTGCTAAGAATGCAACCCTCTGTGACGTAAATATTGCAGAGTTCATGTAATGTTCCCAGACTAAACTTTACAAAGATATACACACACAGAGCATTTTTAGAAAAGTGCTATTCAAAAACTTGAATAGCAAGTGTCCTGCAGATTTGATATCACCTATGAGTCAGTCAGTCCAATGTTACTTATGTGAGAGGTAGCCCTAATTTTGGGAGCACCTGATTGTTTAATTTTGTGAAAATTATATAATAATAATAATATATAATAAAGCAGAGTACTGAACATGCACCCCAATTTAGGAATTTCAAGCTATCAGTCTTTAATTATAATAAATGTATCGGTTTGTACACACAAACAGGATTTAACAAATAAGATGAAAGCCATGTAATGGTCTCTGAATACTATAAATCTGCTACAGATACTGTCCTTTCAATATATGTGTAGAATTTTGATAGCTAACATATTATTTTGCAAAGTTCTTCAGATTTGCCTTATAGGAGGCTTACAAAATACTTCAACATTCCCAGTTTCTATTCTTAACTCAAAAATTGGAAAAACTATGCCAAATTTTATTTGTATACTCAAATACCTTGAATAAGTGCTATGTATTCACCTTCAGGATAAGTTCAAGAGCTTTTTTAATAATTTGTTTACCCATACAGCTATGATTATTGATTCTTTAATGACAACTTTCTGCATCACAACAAAGATGTCAGCATAGCAAAACTCTCCTGTAAAGTTTCTGCATGTAAGACATTTATGTTTAAACTGAAAAAAAATACAAAAACAAGTACCCAAAACCAAAACAAAGTAATTCTTATAAGTTAGTAGGAATTTCATCACCCACTTCAGAAAAAAAACAAGCTAAAATAATGGACAGTTCTAATAATAATATTGTCTTGGGCAAAAGCTTTTGGCATTTCCTTTTAAAAAGTAGTAGCAGTATTTCTTACTCCTGTAGTTTCAGGCAACAATAGCTTACTCAAGGATATCTCAGTTCTTATTAGCATAATTTGTGTTACAGAATCATTCTGAATCTTTCACCTTTTTACTGCTGTATAAATAGAAAACTTTAAAATAGTTTTGAAAAGAACTCTCCTGAAGATAATGGCCAACACAGGCAAAATAAAAAAATGAATATAAGCTGTTCCTGAAAAAATGCAGATTGTAAAGCACTAGACAGTCTCTAGCCATTAAAATAAATCAAGCTCTGAACAGTCTTCAGTGGAAATACTGGGGGCAAAGAAATAACAACTCCTATTTAGTATTGGCAGAGTTTACGAAAAGGGAATTATCTGATGTTATTCCCAGGATAGCAGAGGACTGGACTTGATGACCCAGAGATCCCTTCCACTCTTATGTTCTTTGTTTGGACACATGCAGATGTTCATCTGTTTTTCAGCCTTCACTGTGGTTTCTCTAAAGGGAAATTTAAACGAAAGTTAATATAATTTTGCAAGTTTCAGTTAGAAATTGCCCTTCACAAGAATTGTTGCTGTGCCTGCAGCAGAGCAGAACGTGTCAAAGAATTCAGAAAGCTATATTTAAAGTTGGCTTAGATTTACAGAGAAGTACAGAATTTTAAGTGTTCAGAGAGATGAACGCCCAGCAAAGCACACACCAAGAAAAGAGGTAACTGATCTATTGGTAAGGAAATGGGAAGAAAAAAGCAAGCGATAACAGACTAGGGCTGACACATGAGTAAATCAAGGAACAGGAAGAAAGTAAAACAGAACAGTAAGAACATTAGGCTGTAGAAAAGGTATAATAAGTATGGAGAAATATCAGAGATACTCATGCCATCTTTTAAAAAACTAATTAATGAAAAATTCTCATCACTTGTGGCAGCTGTGAAGAGTCAATACAAACTTGAAAAAGAGAAAAAGAAATGCTTTGTTCAAGAGGAAGGCCATCTCTCAGGTGACAGTCACAATACAACTCTAACACTCTAGAACTCCTACTGAAATTGGGATAACGTTGCCAGTATAAGATCAGTGGCTAAGGATGGATGCACTCAAGAATTAATTCTGGATCTTTGGGGCAAAATGTTCTTTTTCCAAAAGAAGAGTAACATAAACAAACAGTCCTTGCAGATATGCAATATTTAATATCGCTCTCTCTCTCTCTCTCTCTCCCCCTTTCTCCCTCCTCCCCCCATTTTAGCCTATACGGAATGTGCCTAGAGTTGGCTGGCTTTGAAAGACCCCTTCTTTTGCAGGAATGAGTCATAATACAAATCCTACTACACACAGCTTTGTAGGTGACTCAGTATTGGAAAAACATGGCTCAAACTCAGAAGTATAATTCTAAACTATTACTTAAAACAACAATAATAATATTTAAATTTGAAAACTATCTGGTGTTCCTGAATACCTTTTACCATCCTCCTGCCTTAACTAAATCTTACTTTTTTAAATTTACATAAATATATATTTTACATTACAGGTAACTTAAGCATATTGTAGCAACCACAGAAAGCTGTTACAGATATACATCAGCCAGATGAAAAAAGAGTAATATATATATAAGACAACACTGAATGTTTTCTGTGTAAAATATTTGAACAAATAAGTTCCCAGAGTAGCTTTTAATTGTTTTCCAAGGCAGGTATCTTTACAGCTCCTAACAGTTTTAAAAGCATGCAGGGTCAAGCAAATCCTTTATCTTATTTAAGACACTGTGGTCTGTTTTCTATCATTTGCAAGTTCTAAGGTTTACTCTTGTTCAAGGAGATGGTACAGCTAAAGTTGTCTCCAAAATACAGGCTTTACACAAATTCTGTGAACCCTGATGACTACATATACAATCCTTCCAAATGAAACCCTAAGGCTGATAAATTCTAAGATACGTTGGTATTTTGAAAATTAAATAATGCTTACACAACATGGCAACTTCAGAATATAATACCTAAAAGCCATCACACAATTTGCTTTACATAATTGCGTGCAGGCATGCTCACACAGAGAAGATTTTTAAGGTCTAACTTGTTCTTCATATGAATAAACACATTTTTTCTGTTTTCTTTTTAAGAACCATTGCTACATATATCCAATAAACACAGAAACATTACAGAACCTTAGTTTAATTAAACTTTGTTAAGTTGATTGCAGAAATGAACAATGATTTTACAGACCTCACTGCATTTCTTTGCAGGTATTCTAGAAATCAGAACAGTGGCAGTTGGAGTAGTGGCAATCAAAGGAGTGGAAAGCGAATACTTCCTAGCAATGAACAAGTCAGGAAGACTGTACGGAAAGGTATGGATGCAAATTTTTCTCGGTGTACAATCATCATGTACAATCTTAAAAATACATAGTTTAAGATAATCTTAATACACTAGCTGCATAGTTTGTATAAAATGATTCCTAACAACTTAAAATGTATTCCATACTTACCTAACAATACTTTTACGCCCTTTTAAAAATTCAGTGATTAAAGCTATATACTTATTAAAAATGTGAATTACTGGGGGGGATATGCAAAGCTAAAACATTCAATGAGATGCTCAGATTTCAAGATTTGTTAGTTATTAAAAATATTAATAATATTTAGTATTTACAATCCATATTTTTATCCTATCTTCGCTAATCTATGTATTTAAAGAACTCATGTACTTATTTTACTCTACACTGTTATTCATTCTCAACAGAAAGTATGCAATGAGGACTGTAACTTCATAGAACTGATTGAAGAAAATCATTATAATACATATGCTTCTGCAAAATGGACACACAAAGGAAAAGAGATGTTTGTTACATTAAACCACAAAGGTGTTCCCATGAAAGGTAAAAAAACAAAGAAGGAACACAAAGCATCCCACTTTCTTCCTCTGGCAATATCCTAATCATAAATGATCTATACAGAACTAGTTCCAGCAGGAAGATTATTTTTAAGGAGACTATTTGACAAGATATCAAGAGAGGCTGGAATACTACTGAGAAACTGAACAAGCTGGACTTGCGCATTTATGTTTATTTTTAAGAGACTACACGAAAAAGATTTGAAAATATACACAAAACCAGATTTACTAACTAAAAGTTGTAAAAAATTCTAAAGAGTTGTACAATCATTATCTTAGTCATTGTAACTGGGTAGTTTCTTAAATTAATTTACCCTGAAGAATAAGAAGTGACTTGATTTTCTGATAATATTTTATTTAAAAAAAAAAAACCTATCTGCTTCTTAAATATGGCTGCTATAATAATAATAAGCAGATGATAATATTGTGTAAAATATGTCAGACTTTAAGGCTGCTGGAATGAGTTGTCAGATTATCAAGTCAATAGTAAATGTGGAGGTTGAGCAGTATTTTAAATACTTCCCCAAGAAACCGATATCCTATACATAAACTATATGATCAGAAAAAAAATATAATCTTGTAAATGTTTATTGTTGCATTCATATAAAAGAGTTAGTTTGGAAATATTAAGTTTACTACAAAATGTTCCTATCTATTAACGAAACAAATACCTAATGCTGCTCTAAAAGATGTTTCAAAATAGTGTATGTAAAATAAGAATAGGAATAAATAATGTGCTTCATCTCACTTTTCACAAAGTAACATTTTATATAACGACGAAGCAAAAATTCAGACATATTATGGTTTTTTATGTAACATATCCTATCTTTTGTATAATTCCTGTTAGGGCATACAGCTTTTAATATTGTTTTTCCATCGTTATACATGCTTTCTCTGTTGTTACAGCATTAAACTTTATTTTAAGTTGTATTTGAACTTTATTGTTCTAAGTTATTTAAATGTTATTTATAAAAAAACTTCTTAAGCTGCATCTGTTTCATATGCTTTTAATTCTAAAGGAATAACAAAATGGTCTGGCTGAGATGCATGAATTTTTTCTGTGACCAGACAAAGTTTAGTACACAACTCTTTTGCCAACATACGTTGGATGGCAGACAAAAACGACAGCCTGCAGCAAATCTCACAATGGACCTCTCAGCGGGAACAATGTAAAAATGTAAAAAATCTTTGCCACATACTCATGCTAATTGAATTTAATAGCGTGCCCATAGTTACATCAGGTAAAGGAAACCTTCAGTTCCAGTAGGTACTGGAATAAATGCTCAGATGGTAGAAATTGTACTAACAGGTAGAGGGCTATCTAAAGAATCTATATGACTAATTTCAAACTCTAGCCAAAAATCAATGTGAACTGATGAAGAAAAGATATTTTAATTTCCTAGCTATTAAAGTGTTCAGCTAAGTCCTAGTGGATTAAAACATTTCATTCTGCTTAGTTTGCCCCCAAGTTTTCTGGTTATTATGATACTTGTGCATAGATAAAGATCAACAAAAAAATCAACTAAAACAGCTACTGGATGATCATCACCAGCATGGGATGGAGTCAAGTTAACTATGAAAGGATTTAAATGCTCTACTTCCCCTTACAAGTGTCTAGAGTCAGTCAGTGTTTTCTGAGACACTTTCTTCATAAATACAGTCACAAAAAATTGTCTGCAAGGATTTTAACAATTTTTTAAAATAAACACTTGTTTAACAAATACTTTAACTTGGAAATCATTTATGATTTTTGACTTGCATATCAAACATCAAAGTGTAGAGATAACCTGAGCTATGCAGAAATATTTGTCAATAGAGCTACATCAGTAAACCTTCACTGTGCTTTCACTAGTTTATCTATTACTTGTTCACTGAATACAAGAGACTGTACTAGGAAAGAAATATTTTTGCTGATAACTATATGTCTGCGCTACCTTCTGTGAATATATAAACATTGCAACAAAATTCACAACCCTGATCAACATCAATATACTATCAAATTTTCTAGACCTAAAAACTAGATTAGTTCACATTTTGAAATAAAAATTAAAAAAAAAAAATCTCACTGAGATTGTTTGTGTTCAGAATCTCTACTGAAGCTTGAATTAGAATACAAATATATTTCAAAAAGCTTAAACTTAAATCCAGAAGCAGATGAGCTCTTCTAAAGATCTTTTTATTAGGTTATTCAAGACTACAGGAATACAGTCAAACGATTTTGTAACTCCACTGGTGATTCACACTTTTTGATATATGTTTTATCTGATGGGTTACTACATGTACCATCGCTATCAACAGATGATTCAGGACGTGACGGTGCCAGCATGTGCATTCATGCTGAAGCAAAGAATGACAAAAGGAAATGCGTAAGCAAAAGAAAAACAAAATCAATACAAGAGATGCAACCAGCCAAACTGAGCTCTCCTGGATTAATGCAGCGAGATTCTTCATTCACAGATTGTTATCTTTATGTGTGGAATCTTGAAGGTTTCTAAATATATAAATATTAAAATCATTTTATAAATGCAATATATTTTTTGAGACAGAGGTAAACATTCATTCTTCTATATAGACCAATATCTGGCCGGTTTAAGAAACTTCTGAGTAGTGGGTGGATGTGGAATGGAGTAATATGTAGTTCTATAGTTAAATCTGCTTGTTTTAGGTGCATCGAACTAGTAACTACTTACAAATTAGACCAGCTCATTTTGGTATTACTGAAATATATGTTTCTCTGTTGAACTTTGGAAATAAATAGACTGCACATTTTCAAATGCAAAACACTTTTTTTAAAAATATTTAAGATAATATATATATTGCATATATTATTACACTATATACTATTTATTTTTTTTATATATTATAGAACATCTGGTTAAGATGTGAAATCATTAATAAAAATGATTTTTTTCTATACTGCACTTCATTCCCATTACCTTTAAAATGATTTCTCTTTCATCCTGCACTGATCAAGGAGAGCAGGCTTCTAGAGTCCTGTGCTGGCCTTTCTAACTTTTCCTGTGAATACATTTCGATAGTGGGAATCACCCCTCTAAGAGCAGTCTTTATGGATAACAAAGACCATGGAAAATCTTTGATACTAAGTGTCCTTATGAGACTGAAGACAAGTGAGTTACCAAGCTACCAGAGCCACATGGTTGCATCATACTGATTTTTCATTTATATCCAGGCATATATCCAGGGATATATCCAGGGTAGAAACTTCTGTGATGCTAATCAAACAATCTAAGATAAACTGCCCAAGATGATTTTTGAATTTTCCTTCCCAAGGCTTATCTTTCAGATTTTATTGTGAGAAGGAGAGAATCAGATTTCTGTAATCAGAATTAATATTTTTAAAAGCATTTTTAGCACTAGGTTTCCTGTAGTATAATATCCTCATTTTTTTCCTTTAAAAGAATAGAAATGTATGTTTTCAAAGAACTTTAATATAAGACTACAGTGCATTATATTTAGCAACTCCTTCACATTAATAGCGTATATCAAAAACCACTGATGTTTGTCAAGATTTTGTGCTTTACTAGCCACACTGTATAGGCCATCAAATTCATTATTATCCAGGCAACAAGAACTGAAAATATCAAACCCCCATCAAGTAACAAAAAGGACTATAAGGAAGCCAAGTTATTTCCTAGAAAAATCTTTTTAACTGTTTTATTTTGTGCTATAAAAGTAGACCTTCAGAATCAAATTTACACTACTGTGGCAACACATGGCCTGCACTCTGTTCTTTGTAGCGGTGCAAACATATACTCAGAAATGAGGTATGGAAATGTAGCGAAATACGCATTTTGACGAGGTGAGGAGGACTGCCACCATAAGGTATTACTTATTCAGCTATCTGAATTATTCTACCATAAAAGCTGATAACTTTTCAAACGCTGGCAAGACTCTGCCTTATTTTCAGAGGGATGCCAAAGCAATCTCATTTAAGTAGAACTCTGATGATCCAAGAAGCTTTCATGCTACTGTAGAACTTAAAAAATGAGAGAAAACTCACGCAAGGCAGAGACAGCAGGGTAAGTGTGAAAGCTAAGAAAAATATGGCACTTGTGTAATGGAGAAAGTGAGAAAGATAGAACATGCATAATGCGAAGGAAAGATTCCATCCAACTGTAAGAAGAGAAAACAGGCAACAGAAATGAAAGTGGGAACAAAGATAATTATGAAGCAGAGATAACATGCATAGAAACTGCGACAGCAAAAGCTACAAATTAGAAGACAATCAGAAAAACATAGGAGACAAAAACCTGAAGGAAAAAAAGAAATATATCCTCAGGTAAGCCAAGGCTGCTTTAGGTTTTACAACTGTCATATCCGAAATGCATCTTGTAAATGGCTCAAGAAAAGATACCCAAATGCAAATGACGTGATCCTTCAGTAGCACAGAGTCATATGGCTTTACATGGTACAATAACTTCCTTACGTTGACTAAACAGAAGAGGATCATAATTGAGAAAAATCAGTATTTTTGCCTTTCTATTACATTTTGTCTTTCATTTCTTCTGGCGTTTTATTAGTCAAATAGACTTTAAGGGTAGAACATACACCAGGTTGTTCTATTCCAGTCGGTAATGGAAAAGGTAAACTGAAAAGCAAATTCAGATCAATCCAATTGAGAAATTTTCTAATTATCTTTAACTTAGAAAATCTGTTGTAAAAGAAAATATATTTCTTTTCAGCTGTAGAGGGACTGCCTCAGAAAAATAGGTTTGGATGTAAAAAATGGAGAGGAGTAAGCAGAAAATTTATAATGATGACCAACAATAGCAAACTATTAAAAGATAAGAGAAAAAAAATCAGCTATGTTTTCATGGGTATTATTCAAAGAGATGTCAGAAATCCTCATAGCAGCCTCTCACATCAAATTTCTCACAATCCAGTCTTAACATCAATCATAGAGTACGCCATATGGGAGGAAAGCTGATTCATATGAAAAGAAAGAAAGAGATATACTTGTCTGGGTATGACTCATTACTAACCTTTATAATCCTAAAGGTCTGAAAAAATCCAAACAAACTAGGCCATAAAATCCACTGTCAATTGTAATTTTTTTGTTATTCCTACAGTGCCTTGGCTTAAATCCATTTTTACCACAGATTTTACAAAGTATGAATTCACAGTGGTTTAGAAATGACATATAAACCCCTGTGGTTTAAATAGCCATTCTATTTAGCCACCTTCAATAACCATTCACATTTCCCAGAAACTGTTCCGTTACTCAGTCTCTTAAATTTAATTAACAAGGTTCTACTTATTTCTTACCTTTTGCATTACTGCTGACAAATAGTCTATGACACAGAAATCAGCTAATTTCATCTCGAGAATCTTGCAGAAGACTGTACAATCTAATTCCTTGGAGGTTTTCAACAACCTGACTAGACAAAGCCTGAAACAAATTGGTCTGAATTCAGTAAGGGCCCTGCTTTGAACAAAAGATTGGACTACACCTCCAGGGTCCTTCCAATCCAGACGCCTCCATGGTCCCAGATCAAAGTTGCTTTTCTTAAAACAGCCATTTAGAATGCAGTTTAAACCCTGAACAACTACACAAAACATGAAATCCATATATGGGGATAACTACACATTTGTTTCATACTGTGTCTATAGTAACTTGTATGTCATTACAGAAATGTAAAATGGTGTAAATACATCCTATAAAAAAATAAACAATGAGAAAATTCGATAACTTCCATGGCCTTTAAAAGACATGATATGGTACAATATGGCCTCACTTTCAGTTCTCTGTTGCAAGTACTTTAAAACATCACCATGCATATTATCTGTAATGATCAGATTACTAAATGGTTAATCAATTCAGCAGTTATGAAAACATCTGTACTATGTATACTACTCCTTTAAATAAACACTTAGCTATGTTTTTAAATGACTAGCAAATAATTTTGATGATATTTAACCATGTGATTAGTGTCACCACAGGCAAAGAATGTGAGAAAGGGATTAACATTCTTTCTGCATAAGCATTTTTTTGAAAAAATTTAAGCTAATGTTACATCAGTGAAGAAACAATAACAGAGCAAAAGTATTTCCCTTCACTCAACAACCATTATCTGAGTAGTCTAAACACTACATAAGCACAAGCAATTTATCTCCTCAATATTTTAACTTTTTTAAGAACCATTAGAATTTCGTAACATTTAACAAAGGTAGAAAATGAAAGTGACAGGTTAGAGAATTTTCCCAAAATCAGTAAAGCGGTCATTATCAGAGTAGACGTCCATGCTTAGAACTAATACTACACTTCTTTTTTACTAGCATTTAATAACAGAAATTCAGCTGTTCACACCACTGGATGACTTCTCAAAGCTAACAGTTATTTAAATTACAAGTTCACTTGAAGGAGAGAAGCTACATTTGTTAATAGAAAAAACAACTGCAGTCCTCTACAATTAACAGAATCATTCTGAAGAGCAGGACTGTTTTCAAGGCAGAAATTCAGAAGGGAAAGTTTTCAAGGAGCTGCACGAGGTTTGAAATATGACTTTAACTTCAATAGTATTCACAAAGCTAAAATTTCTGGAAAAAAAGCAGCCTATGTTCAAATTGATAGTCTTACATAAAATACCAGTGTACAGCATAATATTAAAAATCTGCAAACAAAAAATCATATAGTACTAGAAACATCATGTGTTAAAACTTCAGCTCTGTAAAGAACTTCACAATACCTGGCTGAGGAAAGCTAGCTTGTAAATCTCAGGCATTCCAGACACTGAAATTCTATAACTGCTTACATTCCAGACCTAAAAAAGGAGATTTTTTTCTCAATTCTGTTTGGAAGGCAGATCCTAACTTACCACAATTGGTTTGTTTCATTAAGAAAACTCTTTTACTTAGAGGCCTGGCACTTGAAAAGACTGTTTCTTAATATAGAGGAAAAAGAGAACTCAGGTCAGAGGAAATTACTTCCTGATGAGAAGCAAATTTTTTCCTTCAATGATAATCAGAAAAGCACAGGATTTTGAATGATTATGCATATACTTGACACATCAAGGTTACTGTTTTTAGATTGAAATCCAATATCAAATAACAATCCTTACTTTTATAGTCATTTCTAAAACAGTATTTTAGTGAGGATGGCTAAAGATGTGAACACTGAGCACTGTTACATGAAGTACAGATTTTCAGAGATACCAGGGACCTAAATGTGGATACCGGTACCTCAGGAAAACTTGAAGGTGTTCAGGTAAGCAGGTTGCCAAGTCCTACTGATTTCAACAGGAAGTAATTATCCAGCGTGCTCAACTACTAGCTATTTGGCTTACTTAGTAGCCAGATACCTTTGTGAAACCGGTTACAAGGTCACTGTACACATATCAACAACCATCCTATCTTTGATGAGACAGACTGGTCAATTTTAAGAGCTCAGTCCCCTGCAGACTAAGCTCTTTCTAGAGCTAATGCAGTCAGTGAAATTAGGCAGCATTTGTGTCACTTGGATGATCCGTGTCACACAATTTTGTACAATCAAAACCCAAATATTCTTTTGCTAGCTTTGCAATGTAAACACTGAAAACAATGCATTCTACAGACCAGTCTTCATTGGCTCGCATCTATATTTTTTGAAAATGGGCCAACATTTGACTGAATGCAATTACATTGGACTGGCAATACCTATAGTTCGATGTTGACTGAACAATTCACATAGATCCTAATGCCTTAATTCATTTAAATGCTTCTGTTTTCATAAAGTACAACAGCCCCTACTTCCAGTTTAGATCCATCTACCCTGAGGAAAGAACCCCAACCAAACATGTTTCATTGTCCTAAGTTTATGTAAAAGAATCTCAGCTTCATGTTTTATTCTTACAGCTAATTCAGTATCATTTTTATTCACATTGGAAATGGTTTTTTATAATAAGATAATGTGCTATAACTTTAGTCAGAATTCAAGACAGACTCCCTTTATGATTACAATTTACAGCTGGTTGCTTCGGCATAAAAATGATTTAATATTACCTTGGACAGCACCAGTTATAACGGACATGAAGCAAGTCATCAGCTAGTGATTGCTGAATTGTCATGGTTCATCAGCCAGCCTTTGAAACCTGGTTCTGCTACAGTTTTGTTACATAGTTTAAGCAAGCCACTTTCAACATTCTATTCCCTATCTAAGAAAAGAAAATATGAGTCTGATATGTGCTGCTAAAACTTTAAACACATGCCTGCACCAGCAGGGGGGGGGGGGGGGGAATGTCCCTTAGTTTCTACCCACACCTGGACAAGCAACTAGCTTCTTATTGGTCATAAATGAGAAGATGCGACTATCAAACAAAGCTGTGAGCATCCTGCAAGCCTAAAGCAATATGGTAGCTTGCAAAATAGGATATTAAAAGAGCTAAAATAGTCAGGCTTCTCCCTTTCATTTTGCCATGGGAAAAAACAAGTCGTTTCATCCTCTCTTGGAGGTATACATCAAGATCACAATAGCTTCAGGGATTTCAGAAATTACTGCAGTTAAAAGTTAGACTCAGTTAGTGCAAAAGGTTATTATGACGAACACCTGAGGTGATTTACCAAACCTGGTCCACAAATAATCATTTTCTACTCATTTTCATACTCTTGTTTTCGTGTACTAGGGAAGTATTACAATGACAGAGATCCAAAAGGCAAAGGAAATATGATTATATAAAACAAAACCATGAGAATTTATAAAAATTATGCAAACATTTCCATTGGTTTTAGGTTTTGTAAAAGCTTTTTTTTTTTTTTTTTAACCCAAATGATCCTCTGACAATTGTCTTCAACGACACAGACACATTTCTATTTCTAAAAAGCTCTTCTGCAAACTGGCCACACACAAAAACAGATTCTGTGAACAAGAATTTCCTTTCAAGACTGTGACTTGATGAAAATAAGATTGACTGTCAACTTTAAAGCAACTGTATTTAACTATTCTACTTGAAAAGAACCACTAAAGTCAAAAAAGAAAATGATGGAAAACTAACAGGCAATACATAATGCCAGCAAGATAGCTCACTTTAATACTCCACAGATCCCTGTAGCCATTACTCATACAGATTCTGCAACGCTCTAAGCTTGAGAAAATGCTCATTTGTAGAGACCACTTCAGTTCATTTTCAAGAGCAACTTTCCCCTTTGCTCAGATAGCCCATCTCACCGGGAAAACCCCCTGAAGTTCTCTTATATTTACATTATAAGAGCAAGCTTTGCAGGAATCATGGCACATGCTAGCACACTTCCCTTCCTTTGACACGTCTGCAGTATTTCACTAGTTCAGGATTTCCTGAGTACAGCATACTCCAAATCTTAACCCCTTATGACATCAAGAGCCCAGTTTTTAAGAGAGGCCTATCTGCCTTTTCCTTTAAAATACTTAACATAACTGTGGAGAAAATAAAGCTTGACAGAGTGACACTGACAATTGTGGGGATGCAAGGGTAGACTGTTATCAATAGACCAGGGTGAGTAGCCTTGAAAATTTGCAGAGATATCATTCAGAGGATATCTTATCCCTATTCAAGCAAATTCCACCAATAAAGAATTTCTAAAATCATTCCTCAGATTATCTTTAAGTCTGGCAATGAATCTTCCTATTTTACATAGGCAATTATGCATTAACAAATGGAAAATCATAGGATCACAGACTTCACTGCCTTAAATGACACCTATGTTTGATGCATAGGTATTTTCCTCTGAATCACTTTGCAGCAAAAATAACGTTTTCCTGCCTTGGATTTGATCCATCAGGACAGAGAAAGCAAAGAGGTAGAAGGTATTGGCTAGAATGCACGAAAGAGTGAAAATGCGAACCAAGCATAAGCAGCTTAGTATCAGCAGCTTTCCTAAATACCTTACAGTGCTATTGTTTACAGCTTCAATTAAATGCAAATATCAGTAAATTGGGAGGATATAATGTTAAGACTCAATCAAAATACACAATTCATTTTTAATTACTATAACACTTTGATTCTTTGCAAAATAAAGTGAAAATAAAACTAACAATTTCTGTTGACATTAGATTTTGCAAGGTACCATAAGTTTCATTCCAATATGCATAAAGTAACGTGTATTGTATACTTAAAAATATTTACAGGACTTACGGGCTGCTACAGAACTGGCAGATCCGCTAACTTGTACATTAGCAGTAGCATCTTTATTAGCATCATTTACCATGGTAGTTTTAAAGCTACTAAGATTCCATTTCCTCCATGTACACTTCTTTGGTTTTAAACCTGAAAAGAAAAATTAAATTTAGAAAAATGTTGATATTAATTTTGAAAATCACCCAATGAATATTTCCGAATTAAATTAAAACTGATTTCTTTCTTGCCTCAAATATTACTATACCCATGCACAATCTTATGCCTCGGAGCAAGACTGTTAACTTAAATGGTAGTATTCACATATTTCAAGTTAGCCAGTGGACAATTTTCGCTATCTTTCTTCTGTGGCTGCTTGTTTTTGCACATGAATAAATATCTTTATCTTGCGGTTGTTCCAATACTGGTAATTTAATATATTTGCATGTTTTGTTGAGGTTGTGAATTATTCTGGCAGTGATATATAATTTACTTTACTCAGTGGTTTTCAATATTCATTCCAGTAGAATTTTGCACAGCTTCCACACCATAAGTTTCATGCAGATACGGAATCCATGCCATAGCACTGATCTCCCGGCTTGCTGGGGTTTTTTTTGTTTTTTTTTTTTGGCCTGACTAAATTTCAGATAATTCTACCCATTATCTACTTATAGTGGTTACGTATTACAGACTAGATTGTGGGTTTATCCAGCTCTTCAAAGTGCAAGGCCCGTTTGGAATTTGGTGCATATGACTTTGAAGTACGCAAACCTTCTCCAAATTAGATTTTTCAGTGTATTTTTTTTCTATATACAATTTTCTCTTTGTCTGTAACTAAAAGGAAAATTCTGCTGAAGAAACAGTGACTGACACAGAGAAAGGTTTGGAGAAGATATTTTTGTATTTTTATCTACTTCAAAAACACTTCTATTGCATTTGTCAATCAGCTTCAACATACAAGATAATGAATTCCACATTGTCATAGAATCTAAATAAATGAGCACTAAAGATAGAAATCTGCTCTAAATCTAAGTTTTGGAATGGATACTAAATGACACATACAATCGATAGATTATGAACTGTTACTGTTAAGCCATGCAGATATTTAATGGTAATAATACCATTTCCAGCAGGAGCCTCTAGGACAGGTACAGTCTGAGTCTTGTAAGAATATTAATACAAACTGACCATTTTTTTTTAATAGAGAAAAAACATCAAGGCCATTTAAAAATACTGAGGAAAATCTTCTAGTCTTCTGCTTTAACCAATTAAATACGAATTCTCACTATGTCCATTATTTTTTCTAGTACTTATTACAGTGTTGCTTAGGCCTTGAATTTTAAGGCTTCCATCCAAACTGTATTAATTTGCTTACCATAGATTCTCCCATAGTACTTCTCCTACAGAGCATCACAATGAAAACACCAAAAGCAACTCTGCCTTCATCAGTTCGATTATAAAAGTTACAACTTACAGTACTGTTATATCCTTGATGACCAGTTCTGCAATAGTTAAGTACTTACACAGCTGAAAGAGCTACCCCAGAACAGAGTCACTCTGCAACAAGGCAATGACTTGGATTGGATTACAGCCTATATAATCTTAAAAATAAGACACTTACATTTCAGTATCATCCAGAAAGTCAACCTCTCCAAAGAGGTTATCAATTCACATCCATTCAAATTCTGAGACGTACTAAGCTTCTAAAAACTGACTAAAATTACAGCCCTTACTATATTCATAATTCTACAGCGGAATGAATAAAGGTTTTAGACTTTCACAATTAACTCTGTCCTTGAAATTACTTAAGAGGGAAAAATATTGACTTAAATTCAACTGACAAATACTGACCTAACTTCAATCATCTTGCACAGAAACAGTTCTAAAATTGGATCTAAAACATATGAAAGTAACAGAAAGATAGAAAGGCAAGCAAGTTTCAAAAATTTTTCATATTTGCAGTAAGACATCACCACCACCATCATTACTGAGCACTGGAAGCTCTGCTTCAGCTAATCTTGCTATGCAAATAAATGATCTGAATGTAGTATGCTTCCACAATGTCAGCTGCATTCAGATAATGGGATAGTAAAGAGGTTAGTCAAGAGAGATACATAGCTCAGTTGAGCAATTAAAGTAGGTTAAGCACTTTGACATGCTTTTGCCAAAAACATGTTGAAATATCAGATCCAGTTTTATTTTTTCTTAAATTAGAAAGAGAACTAATGCCATGTATAGGCAGCAGACATTCTTTGTTTCCTTTCCAGACTGCCACCTATTGTTTTTAACTATTTACTCCTACTTATATATGCATGAAGAATCAGAATCATGACAGTTATTATTATTATGACATCTGAATACAGAAAGCCAACTTTGACAATAGTATTACTAATATTTAAATCTGTTATTAAATATTTTTATTAAGGGAAAAAGTAATAGATTCTCAATGAAACGCAAATCTGGTATCCTGGACAAAATACGCCTCAGTGAGAAGGAAAAAAAAAAAAAATACTATCAGTACCTGATATCCACTGAAAAATTAAGTCTACTAATCCATCCTTAAATTCATCATCAAAATATTTAATGGATTCTGGAAATGCTTCACAGAAAGCAACATAAATGACTTGTGACAAACAATCAGGATATATCTGTCAAAATAAGAATAACATCATATCTAACAAGGCTACAAAGAGCTTTTATATTGCAATTTTTTTAAGTAAACATAAAAATATTCAAGTAAAATGGTATAATCACAAAGCCATTCTGTTAAAAAAATAGTACAAACTTTTATTACTTGTATGAAACATTAGACAACTGTATCAATTATAAGCGAATGCGTGTCTCAAGTCTGAACCATAGAATACTGATTTAAACAAACTGTAGATTTGAACAAGTCACTTGAGGCTAAAATTAGAATGTAGAATAAAATATTTGTTTATATTTAACTAATCATGATCTGTAAAGAAAAATAAGAATTTTGGAAAAAGCTTATCTTTTTATATTATAATGAAATTTTATTTATTCACATATTACATGAGACAAAAAATTGACTTCAGATTGCCCATGATTTCTAGCTTTTTCCTCGTGCATGTACATACCTGCAGCGCGCTCTGTGATCACAGTACTGCTGATCTGGCTATATGCAAATTGGTTTATGTGACATGTTACTATGAGCTGAAATACAGTATCTATCCACATACCATTGCAAATGCTAAGTAACTGTACTGTTGTATAGTATCTGTACTGTTGTACCGTTACCTGGAAAAAAGCATCTTTAGTATCCCTGGGAACAAGAAGAAAAAGTGCCACAAAATTGTCTGCAATTCTGTCAAATAAGTGGTCTTGATCTTCTTGGTTAGGCTTCAAAGAGAAAAAAGTAATAACATAAATTTAGAAATAGTCGTGTGCTAAAATACTGACGCATTAAAGCACATGTATCCCATGACAGGAGGCACTGACAATATGAAGGAACACCACTGAAATACAAACACTTAAATTAATGTGGCCTCTTTCTGCAGTATTTTGTTCTTTAAATGTATTAACAGATACTTTCTTTAGTTTATTGCAGTAGTTCCTGATTCAGCATAGCACTTAAGTATATGCATTATTTGAAGCATATGTTAAGTCTACCAGCCCACAGTCAAGATGGAATCTAAACGCTGTATTGAATCGAAGCCAGTGTACATAAGCACAGTCTCCGACCATATGAACTTTTTCCTTCTCTTCTTAATAGAGAACACAGTGATCACCTGAGGTAACAGAATACATACCTTTTTGATTTATGTTCTTAACCTAAATATTCCAAAATCATATCTTACATAAATCCTACCATCATTACACAAAGTAAGTAAAGTAAAATAAATAGCCATTTTTAGCCTAAAGATTTATTTTAAACTTCATGGTATAAACCTGCTAACTAAATTAGGTCTTCATAAGTTCAATTACTGCTGTTTGAAGTTATATGAAAAGTTAAATTTTTGGGCTACACTTCATACAGTTTAGTCTAGTCAGTGAAACATTTACAGGTTTGTATTTGTACAATCTACAGTTTATTTTATTATAAAAGCTCTAAAAATGCTTTAAATTCATTAATACCTTAAACTTTTGAAGAAACCACCACCAAAAAGAATCCTGAAACACTGCAACAGATGATTCTGAGAGAAACAAACTTCTCCAAACTTTAAGAACATCTTTCTGTCAAAACAACAATAAAAACATTCCTTATCCTGACTGCACAAATTTTAAAAAAATGCCTAAAACCAAAAATAAACCAAAATCAGACAAAGATAAAAAGTACAAGAGTTTTTTTTTTTAAAAAAAAAAAACACAGTCCAATAGAAAATAGGAACTTCTTTCAGCTTGGCAGACAGAAAAATTAAAAAAAAAAAGTCCTTGAGGGAGAAATGCTTAAGAAAAAAGCAAGTTCTTTAAAGAATCCATCACTTCGCGAGTACCTTAGTATTGGGTCCTCAAAATACAGACACTGATCTGCATTTCTCAGATACCTGCAATTCTCAGTTTTTTACTGGATTTATAAATTTTCAGTAAACCTAGGACTCAGAGTCCAAATATCTCAAGTTTAACAAACAAAAATGAAGGTATACACACAGATAGTAAGACAGCAAGTCATACCTGTTGCATTAAAATCCTAGCACAATAACAATTAACAAATATCTATGAGCATAAATATTAAAAATAATGAAAACAACAAAGTAGATTCAGACACTGCATTCACTTATTTCCTTTGACATGCAGTGATTTAAATTGTGCCAAAACAGTGTGCAGAAGTGCTGATAGGGTTTGGACATTCCTTGCCTCATCCTTCTCTGGGTACATTTGCACATATTTAAGCAAAAAACCCCAAAATTTTAAAATCAATCCTCTAAAGGATTTTTTAAATATGCATATAGTATTTCAGAAAGCTACATGAGGTTCTGGCTGTGTATTATAAACATATTTATTAGGCTAGCTGCAGATTATAAACTCATATCAGCCTTTTATCCAGTGCAAGTAATAAGGTCAATAGCTGTTCTTTGCGCATGAATACATTAGGTTTTATATTAAAAAGTTACGTTTTATATTTTGTCAGACTAGTGATTACTGCTCTATATTGATATTGCACTAACAACTTCAACAAGAATGCTTCTGATTACTTTTAAACATTTTCACTTGAAAAAGTTACACTTACGCACATATATGCTTTACAGCAAGCGCTGCCAAAAGCCACTACTTAGAATACACCAAGACTGCTCGAAAATGTGAACCTTGAGTCCCCTCCCAACTCTGCAAAATTTGTTTTCGACAACCTGATGTTATTTGGACTTCAACAAATAACAGGAATTAACAATTTCCATCATTTATAAAACGGAAGCAGTCAAAATTCTTTCAGAAGAATATAACATATAAACGACGTAACATTTAAAATATTCTTCAATCTTACCTGCTGGTAACTGTTTTCACATAAATTGTGTAATTCAGTCTGTGTAGCACTATTTAATGATAGGTTAACTTGCAAAAAGTTGTAAAAATCATTTTTATATTGCTTAACAAGTTAGCATGCAAAACGGATCAAAAGACAGGATTTCAGAGTATCTGACGATACCAGTAACAGACTAGCAATAGTTTTATGTTAGTCCTAACTACGTTCACATTCTTCTTAGGAATCTGTTCTGTTATCATGTGTGTGTGTGTACATACATATGTATGCATATATATGTGGGGGGTATGCATCTTGTATATTTTATACATATACATACTATATATATATATATAAAAATATATCTTTGTGTGTGTGTGTGTATACGTATATACATATCTTGTCCCTATTTGTTCTTCTTATTTATATATTTATGTAACAATGCAGACCTACTAATCCTGTAATATAAAGCATAATACCATAAAGAAAGTAATTTTGGATGATCTACTTAAGGTATTGAATTTCTAAATATTTGTTTGGTGAGAATTCAAATTTGTTCTTAAAATAAATTACTTGTTTCCTTATCACCTAATTTATAGTCTATGTATATTTATCTAATCTATATCTTATTACATTAAACATTTTAAATATAAATATTAATAAAAGATTACACATTTCCGCTTCAAGTGGAAGTTACAATAAAATCTAACATGCTATATCTTGGCCTTCCGTGAATTCTGGCTCTGCTGCAGACTGACTTTTCTGAGGAGAAGGCTACTCTGGGCCAAATAACTAGGCACAGGAATAGAATCACTACCAGAAGCAGATCACAAAGACAGGAGAGGTATAGCTCAAAAATATCCCTACTCAATTCACAGGGGAAAGAATATACCTCCTTGTTTGTCTGCTGGTGAAGTAACTAAAGCACTTAATGCTTTAGCTAATTTCTATTAAAGTGAGTAAAAATCAGAATACAAAGGTTAGGGTTGTGATTTTACTCTAAACTGTCATTTACAATTTCTGTCGTAGATGGCTAATTCAGTCTAGGGGGAGGTACAAAAGACATACCTTTACATATAATTAGTATCCACATCAGTCCTGTGAAAAATGGGTATACACATACTGAAGGAATTATTTTATCATCAGATAACCTTGCCTTGGCTGACAAAAAAGGAGCAGTTAACTACCATTAATTAACAGCGCACGCAGAAGCAGCTGGACACCATAAGGGCTGTATCTTGCTGCTGTTGGTCGTATGAAAGAAATAAGGAACGGCTTTATACTCTCAGGTGAGAGACATGAGGATATACTTGACACAGACGCAGCGAGGCTCTATCTGACACTGCTGCTACAAGATCAGTTTCACAAACACGAGGTTCATGCCCATCAGCTATGAATGATCACCCACAGAGGAAACAAATATAGGAATGTCATGATGTCTTCTCTATTGTGAAATTCATTTGCACAATAGCGTTCAAGTGTTTTACGTACTTTCTGCAAACTCCCTCTTTACCAGTCTTACAATTTCTGCAGCAAATTAGACATAGATGTTACAGACAATCATCTCACTCGCCGCCTAACCTTAAATCATTCCCCGAGTGCTGTCGGATCTGTGTACACAATGATGCACCAAAAAAAAAAAAAAAAAGTGTAACATCATGTCTTCTAAATTCTAATTTTGGCTTTACATTGCTTTTGAATTTCTTTTCAATTTTAATATTAGTTTAATATTATTTATTTCAGTACTTTAATTTTGGGTCAGCTCTGGGACATAAGGACAGGGCAGTGGGAAGAATCCTTCAATAACGCTGTTTTACTAATAAATGACTCCTAAATCTGTCAGTTTGGTAACTTCAAGAAATGCTAACAGTGATACTAAAAGGTGCACCAAAATGGAACACCTATGAAGATTAACGCAGCAAAATATTTGCAATGCTCTGTATCAGCTGCTTCTGTTCAGCAAACTGGAACAAAGAATACCTACTTTGAAACGTTGAGCTTTTATAACTAAGTCCCAAAGTTCTGGAGCTTCCAAATGTCTTGGTAACTCTAAAAGTTGCTTTACCGTGAAACCAGGGTAGTTATAGCTCTAAAAAGAAAATTAAATATTTAGAAACTAAAGCTAATTATTACACTGCATTTGTATTACATAACTGCTCTACTGAGCAAATGCTGTATTGAACATAAAACCAGTTTTTTTTCTGAAGTAAATTTTTTTAAAGTATTCCAGATCAGAGGTGTTCATTTATTCGTCACCCAATTTTATAAAAATAGTCTATTTAACAGTTGCTTTCCTTTAACACTCAGTCAGAGTCTGTCAAAGTACAAAAAATAGCCACTTTAGTCTGTAATAAAGTTTGTTTCCTGTGATTTTCTGCTTTCTCAAAAATGTCTTTTTTATCATAAAATATGAGTAAAACTCTATGTTTTTTACAGGGATTTTACAGGGAAACTCTATGTTTCTTTCAATCTTTACATTAGTTTTTCAATATGAGATGACATAAACCATTTATTGGCCACTTTGGCTATCTCTGCTCTGTTACACTAGCGCTAGGCATGAGTTCCCAGTCATGTATAAACTTCTGATCACCCACAAAATCTGTACAGTGACTTTCTACATTACATTGTCCATAAAAGTCTGCCAGAGTAGCTCTCATTTGAAACGAGCCGAGTGGCTTTGCAGGCAGGAAGTACCATGCTCTAAGCAGTTACTGACTTGCAGTTAAACTGTTCATATAGATAGTATATGTGCAAGGATACGATGCTACTTGGTTCAAAGACTGACCCTCAGCTCCAGCACAGTTACCAAAACCACCTGACTTCCTTGCTGAGCGTACTTCCTGTACAGTTACTTTGCTAATTATGTTTCAAGCACATAATAGAAAGTGTTCCAACAGAAGCTAAGCCAGGTCTCTGTCAAATAAAATAATTCCTCTTCTACTTCATATCTACTCACATGTAATACAAACGTGCTGTTATCTTTTACTCAAGCCATGAAACACCTCAGCTTGTATTTAAAAAGCATAGAAAACAAATACCAATGAAACTTAGCTGATAGTGTTCAAAGCACTATATAGTCAGTAATAACACCGTTACTTCGTTTCTGACCTACTGATATCAATATTACAAATCACAGGCTAACTCTGGTTGGATGGGACCTCAGAAGGGCTCTAGTCCAATATCCTGCTTAAAGCAAGGTCAGCTGTAAGATCAGACCAGGCTCTCAAGGTTTTATCCGGTCTGGCCTTGAAAACCTTCAAGCATGGAGAGTGCACAACCTCTCTGGACAACTTGCTCCACTTGCTGATGTGTTAGAGGCAAACATGCTTTGACAGTTATGTTTTGAAATTTTTGAGATGTCTCAGAAGAATTTAAATGGGTTTCTTATTTTTACATACCAATTTTTTAAACTGAAGCTTAACTGAGTTTTAATGAGCCCGATGACAATTATGGTATGGCCTTATATTAAAAATGTTGCATAACTCAACATATTAGCTCAATGAGATATTAATGTGATTCAATTTTGTGAGTAATCACATTAATATTTCAAAGAAAGAAGCTAATTATGCTAGAGTCCAATCACTTTCCAAGAAATACCAGGATCAAGACATTCCAAGCTATCGGAGACACATTCTGTTCTCCTTTGAGCACATCCTGAAAAGTCCAAAACACTAGGCCACAAAGATTCAAGCAGAATGTGTCAAGTGAATAAAGCTAGTGATCATTTTTACACTGTATCGGAGATTTCCATTATGCAATATATACAAATTTACATAATTTTGAACATCTGAGTCTTAAGACTATTCTTTCCCTTGGTTTGGTATCAAACATATTTGACTTCCAATTCACTAACAAAGCATATTCATAGGACCAAATGCTGTGTACTTTTTTCAGTAATAAATCTCACCTCTATATTTCTACCCTTTGACTCGTCGACAACGTATCTGGCAACCTGAAAAATGTTTAAATACGTAATTCAAAATTAATGCTACATATATTACACAATTAAATTAATGATATTCAGATAAGATAATTCAAATTATGAACTGCAAATATACTTCAGATTACAAACAATGGTCTAAAATTGAGATGTTCGGTAACATATATGCTACAAATCACTTTTGGAGATATAAAAGAAAAAAATATGCTTTTTCAAGTTTTTTCCCCCCTATAAACATACAGAGATAGGTATAATCTCACTTCTGGATTGAAAGAAAAGAATTTGAAAATTTGGCCTTCCCTGTCTAACTTGAAAATAGAATTAAAAATAGGTAGCATACCTCTCCTTTCCCCATCTCACTTGTCTGATTCAGAACTCCTTCTGCATCAGTTTGCTCAGCAGCAATGGCTTAAAAAATTAGCAAGATTTAGCAAGAAGTCTGGATTGGTGATTTTATCAATTAAAAGTTCTAATCAGGTAAAGGTTTTTACTATACCTAGATCTACATCTAAATGTGTATATGCACAAAACTTAACACACTGTGCATAGTCCTATGGCATCACTGAAACGATCGGTAGGCGTAAAAAAAAAATAATCACAACTTATGTCTCTTTATATGTCTCATCTTTTTTCTAATAATGCCAAAATCGGTGGAGAATGACTTATGCTTTCATAGACTTTTGCTTGGACTTTGTCTAGGCTTGAAACATAATATGCCTAAGACCTAGGCAGAACTAAGACTTTAGCTTATTAGAATTTTTTAAATTATAAATTTGACACTTGACTCTCAGTTTACAAACTGAGGAAAGACTAAAAATGAACTGACTAAAATGTAATCGTTCAATATACAATAGCGATGTGCAAACAGCGTTTGGATCCCTAAAATTACTATCTCCAAAAAGATAGCAGGATACCCACAAGGATTACAACACTCAAATCTTCTGACCAGAGTTCAGTGCAGAATCTGAAGTCTCTTTGTGAAGAAAGGAGTCTCTCTCGCTCTCCTCTAATTCCCTCTCTCCAGTTGATTAATCTTCTCAGTGTGTCAGAGCTGCCCTAGGGGACTCTACCCAACAGTGAAGCCAGTGTACAAGATAAACCCACGCTTGTGGGTTCAATCTCCTCCCACCCACTTCCCTTGTAGTTTGGCACTCATTCCTCTAGCATAGCCCCATTCTCCTTTCCCCTCTCTTCCTGGTATCTGAAGATCAGCACTGAACCTCAAATGTGGCAGCTCAGTTCAGGGTTTCTGGGAAGGAGGAGCACCACCAAGTGGGGCATTCAGACAGTCCTAGATCTGTGAGGAGGGAATGGGGGAAACGGAGTAGAGCTACCACAGCAATGACTGGCACATAGTGACGTACAGGATCGATAGCACAGATATTGTGTTACTGTGCTATTATTATGACATAGCAATTTTGGTATTGTACATATTCAGAATAGCAGTACTACTGTGATATGGATATATATCACCCAGCACTAGTACACTGCAAGCAAATCCTATTTCAGAGAAATCAGTAACTGACCATATCAACCAGCACCAGGTACGTTCACTTATTAAATTAAAACTCTCCATCCTACTACATCTCTGGGGGACCTATTTGTTTGCTGTGAAATGGGATAAGAAGAGCAATGTCTGACAGCCATTTAATATGAACAGTATTGTCTTCAGTCTCAGAAATTTGCAGGAATTAATACAGACGTAGAATTCCGTCCCCTTCCGGGAGAACACTGCAACATTAGTGTTTCTTGTACGACACTTAGGGCAGGAAAGCATCCTCCAAATTTACACACAGGAAGCTGAGGTACACAGGTACAGAGAGAAGGGCACACAGGCGGCCTGTCACACCCATACCCCAACCCATCACTTAACAACAGTGCTATTCTTCTTGGTTGTCTGGAAAAGAAGTTCTGATACTGGTATTTCACACCTTATTACAAACAATTATATATGGAACTTTGAATTCTTACATTGTTGTTTTTACACTTTGAACCTGTCATCAGTATTTACTTGTACCTCCTGAAGTGCTGACTACTGGCCTTGGCATACCCTATAATCACTTATCTGAAACAATGTCTTTAATTTAACACAGTACCTGGAAGTTTTCTAATGTGGATGCTTCATTTTACTTAAATTTCTAGAATTTACAAACTCAAACTCTACACTCTAAATCTACATATACAATCTTAAATTTTTTGGCTACTACTCTAGGCTGTTTCCAAAAAGTGGAAATAAATCATCAGTTTTGTCAGCCTTAGTTGAAGGGATTAAGTATTGTTTTCACTTTCTAATTATGGTTTCTATTAGAAAAAAATAAAATGATGTTACTCTGTTCAAGTGGAATAAGATGTTCCTCTAGATATGCTGGTCCATGTTGTAATGAAAATATTTTTTCAGCATGTTCCTCTAGTTCAGTGATGCATGCATTTATTCTCTTCTCCAAATCTGACAGTGGGTTGATGTCCAATGGAACATTTTCATGCAGATATTTAGAAATAGCACCGAATGAAAAGTCTTTTTGTAATTTATCCACCAAAGAATAAGGTGCATCCAGAATGAGAAATCTTGGCCATTCCTTCTGTAATCAGTGCATACCACAGTTAAAAAAAGATATTTCTGGATAAGATACAAATATAAAGATTAAATTAGGTAATCTGTAAAATTTATTTTATATAAAGAATTGCAGTATGAGTATAAACGTATTTTACACATACTTTCTAAGAATCTCTAAATTTTGCAACATTATCAACACAGACTGTCTTCCTCCTATCTCCTATACTGGATTCAGAGACTATTATAACATCTCAAAAAGTAAGACAAACAGAAACAGGCCAAAGAGGCCTATTATAACACATGCAGAGTAATTAAGAAGATTATAACTTTTTGGTCAAAACGGATTATGTTTCTAAAGAGACAAAATCATGTGCAATTTAAATTCTCTGAAAGGACAGTAATGTCTTCTCTCTGTTGAGAATAGTCTTAGAAGCATAGGCAAAAATTCTGCTCCTCGGTCTAGCAAAGCATTACAACTGGTAGCTTATATAGACGAGCAAATTATTGATGCCAATGGCAGACATTTGAAGTCAATCATCAAACTGGTTGCTTTCCTAAAATAACTTAGTAAGCGTTTAACAGTGAGCAATTCATTTCTTTTTAAACTCTCTAAGTATAGCTGAAAGACAATGGTATGTTCTACCTTAACAGTAGGACAGTAAGACACAGTATTTAGAGGGGGGAAAAGGAGGGGAAGGGAGGGAAAGGGGAGGGAAAAGAAAACTATTAAAATACCTGATCATTTTGGGCTAAAAGAGAAAAGGCAAATAAAATCAATCAAAAACTGAAAAAGTATTAATTTTTTTTTGACATTTTCCTAAATTAAATGTTTCCATTTTCATCAGGCTGTCCCTTTTAAATTATATCTTAAAAGAAAATAAAATGTTATAAGGCAACTTCCATCTGTTAAAACTTTTGTAATTTTCTCTTGTTTCTGTGAGAGAAAAAGCCCTGGTTAAATCAAAAAGAGTGATTTTTCTCATAGCTCTATAGTTAAGCAGCCTTGAATGATTCAATATTTGCAAATAACGTGGATAGGTCAACAGGAATGCTCTGTTTCCTCCAATAAGAATGTAATCTGAATGAATCACCTGTCTGCACGTTAAATGAAATCCTGTAACAAAACACACAGGCATATTCAAAGATCTCCCTAACAGTCTTATCAGCATGAGAAAAGAAGGAAAGCTCATTTAAAAAGCAAAACTAGCTATTCTTCCTTTTATTCTCCTCAGAACTTTCTGCCTCAGGGTTTAGGACTTTGTATTATGCTAGTAATGCTGTGGAATGGTCAAATATGTTAAACAAAGCTTGAGTCAGTGTCATTACTCAAGCATGCTCCCAACAATAAAAAATTGCTGCACAGCAGACAAAAAACTTCCTCCATGGTTTAGCTTTGAGAAAAAGAAAATTTAACAACAGACAGGCTGTTCTCTTGAAGGCCTGCCATTTCGACAAACCTCTTAGTTTCCAGTGCCTGAGGGTCTAGGAAATATAATCTATGTTCAAACTCAGTTCTCAGTATTTATATTCACATGGCTTTGCTCACCACCCTGTTCCTGCATGTTCACTTCACCATACACAAGAGTAGTTAAAATAATAAGCAGTAGGACTCACCAAATTTTGAGACCGTAAGAATTCTTCAAAAGAGAAAGGAGGCTTTGGCATTTTCTACTGACATGCAAATAAGAACTGTTCTTATCAGAATACCTTAAAAAAAAAAAAACTAAGATGACATTTATTAATACACATTTAAACTTTAGATGATTAATACTGACAAACAAAAGCTACCTTCCTAATGTGTAATGAACATGCTCATTATCATTTGTTCCAATAAAGAAAACATTGAGACACATGCTAAAAATATGAAAGACATGTAAGGACACTGAATCATCAAAGCAGAACTTCCATCTTGGTCCAAGCATCTTCATACAAAATATCTGTAATATATCTATTTTTATTTAGGTACTTCTAAAATATATTCAGGAGAAAAAGTGAAAGTCCACTCACCTGGTAGATCTGTTCTGTTCTTATAGATATGCAACTTTTGCTGATAAATTAGAAAAAATATGAGCGCTGCAGATTAGCAAAAGTCTCACTGAAAAGAAATCAATCAGCTGGTATCTGCTGAATTCAGTACAATTAAAAACACAAGAACAACTTTGTAGTGTTACTTGTGAGCAGAAATCAAGTGTGAAAAATATCAGTCTGAAAAAAAAATTACTTTTTAAATAAATTGTGAAATTAAGAACCCCAAATAGCAACCATTCCAAAGAATGGGTTTTGTTAATATCACACCTTTCAGTTGCAAATAACTGTATAGAACAAAGCACGAAGGGCTAATTCAGATTTCAGGCCCATCTTTTACATGCTGAGCTCTGTTATTCCCAGTTTCTCTCTGAACCAGGCATCCAAAGAAACCATTCCAGTAAAGTAGAAGATGGAACACTTAGTAAAACCTAGTATGATTAAGTTTGGCAGGAAAGGATTTTAGAACTATTATAATAACATTCTTCTTTGTGTCCAATAAACATTTTGTTACTTTAATGTAATTAACTGCACATCAAGACATACTGTCACAGCATAAGGAGGTAAGAATGATAAATTACGTGAAATGTCGCCATTTTTTCTTTACTACTGCTATGGATTACATGCTGCTAATAAGAAAAACAGATCAGGTCAAAGCAAAGACAAATAACAACAGAATTCTGGTTAAAAAACCTCTGCCGCTGAATGCAATACCACTTTAGTCAATGAGGTTTTAAGGGTGTAACTGAGATCAAAGTTTGGCATAAAATCTGCCTACAATGTTAACTTTTTCCTTAGGGCTATTGCAACTAATATATCACAGACTTTATTTTATTTCACTGAGTCAAGAGAAATCTTCTGTATCCCAAAATTATTGCTTTAGGTTAGCCATTTCAACCTAAAAATGCAGTTGCTGAACACTGAACGTTGGGCAAACGTTATGGCCGAGCCAACAGCCTTAATCAAACCGAGGGGTCCCACAGAAAAGATCCCAGGTCCCATTTAGCGAGAGAAGCAAAACAACCAAAACAGAACACGAGAGAATTCTCCCAGTCTTTGCTGTCCACAGGACGTGCGGAGTTAACACTCGGCAAAAAAATACAGGTTATAAGGCCTAAGCGACCCGACCTTCCTGGAGTTAACCTGGGACTGAAACAAAACTGTGACTTCTGTCACAGCGGCCGGTTCCAGGTGCTTCCAGGCAGCGGGAGCAGGTCCCGGCCGGGCGGCGGCCGCCTCACCGGGAAACGCTTCAAGGCGATGAAAATTTCGGGGGCAGTTTAACGCGGGGGTGGGACAACCTCGGCGCAGCTGGAACGAAAACCACCTGCACACGGGGCGTAGCTTCCCCGCAGCTTACAGCACGTGGCTTCTCTTCGGCTTTTGGGACATAAAACGTGGAGACGCGAAGCCCGGCAACGGCTGCGGGCGCGCGGCTCCGCCCGGCCGCCTCAGCGGGGAGCA